AAATGCTATTAACTCATGCATGAATCCAATAAGACATTCAAGATGGCAAATTTCTGCCTTAGGGACTCATTTTGAACTGAGAGTGGCAACTCTAAGTCCAGAAATCGGATTTAAACCATAAAGTTCTTTACTTGGGACCAACATGACTTCAAAACCACACTACACTAGATCTCAACATTCTTAGGTAAATTTATGAACTTTATACCTCCAAAGATTCCTAAATGATTATGTTTTCCTAGATCTATGAGCTTAAGGTACCCAAATCCTTCTTTGCCACTTCCTCCTTCTTCTAAGCTTGAAAATACCAAGATGAGCTTCCCAAGGTCAAGATCTCACGAGAATGAAGAGATGAGACGTTATAGGGTTTCTCTGAGGTTTGGGAGGCTGATATCGGGCTAGGGTTTAAGAGTACGTTAGGCGTACATCTCGCACATTGGGCGTACATCTCCAACACCCGCGACCACTTGACCCCTCTACAATGGGCGTACCCCAGCTTACGCTGGGCATGCTCACCCAGTTGCCACCTTTGCACGCATGGATAGAAATGCAAGTTTTTCCATTTAGGGACCAATCCTACCAATAACTTTAAAGTGCTATAAGTTCTTCATTTTAAGTTCGTTTCCGACGAACTTTATATCTACGAAATGGTGGCGAGAACCCCTACGCTCCTAACTACACACCCAAGCCTTAATACTTTTTATATAAAAACCAAGAGCATAAAAGGTCGTATCGCTTATACCCTGGGCCTCCGAAACCACAACCAAAGTACTTTTCAAAATGGGTGTTACATTTAGTGTTCAAGATCTGAGATTTGGTTGTGTTTTGGCTCATGTATGAGATTTTTGACCTTATTTCGACCATTGTTATGACCTACTTGGGAAAGACATGCATTTGTAATGCATGTCTATAAAGAAATGATTTTTATGACTTATTGGATGTAAGAAACCTTTTGGATGAGTTGAGTGTATGACTTAATGGATTAAGGGCTTAATCCATTAAGTTGTCCATGATCATTTCTTAGGACGTGGCGATATGTTCACCACGCCATGGGATATGAGGTTCTCGTAACTGTTTTGTCCTGAGATTGCTATGTCGTGGCGAATGCTTGGCCACGACAGTATTTACCCTTGTGTGCAGGATGTTGGTATGGTCTAGTGATCTTTTAGATTCGTAGATATGTTATGATTACCAGTGCTTTGCTGGTTACTGGTTATCTGTTTGTATATGTTGACATATTGTAGTTGGGTTGAGGCAGTCTTACTTTGTGTTGTACCCAAGATACTCAGGCATTCCAAGTGTACCCTAGGCCATGCGAGGCGGTCCGGGTGTATTGTAGGCCTTGCGAAGCGATTCAATCATACTTTAGGCTCATCTATGCATGCATTGTATGTGTATTGTTGTGTGGTGTATTTTGGAGGAACTCGCTAAAATTTGGCTTACAGTTATGGATTTAAATGTTTCAAGTGCTTCAGAGGATCGGGGAAATGTGAAGACATGATTGTACACATCATCCTGTTGATTTTTTTTACTTGAGAGATGTTATTGATACTCGAATTTTTATGATCCGTTTTGAAACAATGATTGGGATTCTTTATGGTTTTATGAAATGTATTTTGGAAATGAAAATTTTTTATCATGGTTTTTAGGGACATTACATTGGGATCTTTTGCTTCTCGACTTAGCTATGTAAGTTATATTTGTCTTATTGGTTATTTGAAGTATTAAAGTTTAAATCTTGCATGTTTGGCATGTCCTAATGCATAAAGTCGAAAACTTTATCAATGTATAGTAGAGAATTAGATATGGAAGTTTGAGCCCTAACTTAATAGATTAAGTCGAAAAACCTTTATGAAAAAAGTGTCAAGACGTGGTGCGTCTAGATTGACCAAGGGTTGACTTCTTGACTCTTTGATCATTAACAATTGACTTCTTGACTAGTTTGACTTTTGGTCAAGTTGAGGGGTCTTGAGCTATAGATTAAGGTTTAGTCTCTATTTGGTTAGGAAGTTGTGTTGCTGATTCAATCGAATCTGGGTAGTGAATTTTAACTCTTTGATCAAATAAGTCTTCCCACTATACTGTATATGACACTAGGTGTCATTGGATTGCTTGTTGTCTTTGCAACTCTTGTAGGAATGTTATATGTTCATTGGTCGAGATTCGTTTATATATAGTCATGCATATTAATAACATATTTATTGGGTGATGCCCATTATATGTGGTATTTTAGGGAATCCACTAAGCTTTGGACTTACAGTTTTATGTTTAATCTCTTCAGGTTGTTTTGATAGCAATGAAAATAGCACGACCTGATTACATTGCATCCACTGGAGATTCCACATTATTGGCTTTTATGATGTTTACTCTGTCATTTGATTTGAACTTCAAACTTATCTTTTGATTATCATATGGTTTGGAATGATACTCAGATTGATTTTATTATATTTGAAAATGAAAATTCTATTCTATATTTTTGGAACGTCACATAACCCTTTTCCGTCGTAAAGCATCTATAAAACAACATTTATATTTGTACAAATATATGGAGAAAAAAAAATTACATATATACGGGAGTGTAGTCTCTTCACCTATATACGAGTATGAATAAATGCATGATCATCATGATTTCTACAACGTTGTATATGCCTTCAAAAAAATTTATCTCAAATTTGTTATACTTCTAAAATACACGCATACTATATACTGTGACAAATAATAAATGATATAGATCGCCAAACAACATATTGTGGTTATTGAATATACACATCGTCATAAACATTTGAAATGAAAGAAAAATATGTATCAAAAGAAACATATGAAATGAATTCATCGCCATAAACACTTCTAAAAAGTTCCTTGGTCAATCATGTACAAAACAAAATTGTCTAAATGTGAATTTCGTTTTAGTTTGCCACATAGGTAGGCATGTAAACATGTTTGGAATCAGAATAAGACCACTTTCACAAAAACCAAAAATGGAATAAGCCGTAAACTAAGAACAAAAAACCACACTAAATACCACAAACGGTTATGTTCTGGTTATGTTCTAGCAAGAAATATATTGGAAAAAGTGAATATACCCTTAAAGGTATATAAGCTTAGGTACCCAAACTCACCATACTACGTCGTTTTGTATCATATATATACGTTGTAATTGTCTAATGTTCTTATAATTAAACTTCTAACTTGATTTCATTCAAAGATTTTTATAAATTTCACATTTATTTTCCTTTACATAATTTTCATTTTCAACTATAATATATATAACCTAATTGATGTTCGTTAAAAATATGTGATGTAATAGGAAAATAATAATGAAATTTTAAAAATGTTGAAAGTAAATCAAGTTAAGGATTGAAGTTGAAGAGCATTATAATAAATATATCAAACAAAATGACGTATTATAGTAAGTTTTGGTACCTAAGCTTATATACCCTTAAGGGTATATTCACTTTTCCTAAAACTGAAAAATCAAAAACCAAACAAGCTATAAACTAAGAACCAGAATCCGTAACCGGATACCATGAACTGATTTCAGTTTGGTTTTCGGTTAAAAATTTATCCCTAATGATACACGTCAAATTGTAACCTAATAATCATATTTGTAATATTTAAATATTTTTAATAAGTTTGTTGTATGCATTAAAAATCGTATCAAAAACTAATAAATAATTACTTTTTTACTCATTATTCATATTCTATATTTCCATACATATGGTTCGATATGTCCATCCGAGTTTTATAATATTTTATAGATATCCATTTTAACTTGGCACACAATGTTTCATTTAAATTATTGAATTCACAAGTTTAATATAGATTCATTTTATTATAATCAATGCAACATGAGACCATCAGGTGTACATATAACAGAGAGGTTTGTGATCGACGTGGCCATTAACCACAGCCGAACATACTATTTCGTCGGTTTGTGGTGGATCGTTGTCGATTGTGGTGGGAAAGGCGGAAAAACACGACCAATCGCGTGTGATGACTATTCTCACTCAGCCTTCTATTTTTTTTCTCTTCATTTTTCTCTTCTTCAGGGTAGAAGTGGGTGGCTAATCGGAAAGTTTTTCCCTACCCTTGTCGTTGAGAGTACTCTTGATTCCGACAACGACAAGTGTTTGTATGTGCATTGATTAAAATGTAAAAATATCATAAATAAAATATTTTTCAGTATATTGTTATGTTTCTATATTTGAAGTATATTATGAAAAGATTTATTAAAAAGTTGAGATGAATAGTAACTGGTAAGAGAAAAAAATGGAAAAGAAACGAAAAGAAAAAAAGCAGAGCGTGTTTTCCGGTGCAAGGACGAATAAGAAAAAGCTGGTGGATGTGCCACGTGGGCAGGATAATGGACGTCAGATCAGAATGTGACGGATGAGATTAAATCGGACTTTTATTTGCAACTGCCAGACAACTGTAGAGTAAATATTGGGAGATCATATAGATTTTCTGAAGCTTTTTAGAGAGAGAAAGAGAGAAAGAGGAGAGAGAGTATGGGTTGTATTAAATTGAGGTAGCAGGAGGAGAGGGGGTTTGCAGTGGCTATGGCGGCGTTGCAGGGGGCGTGATTTTAATGCATCCAAATAACAAAAAGACAGAATTCAAAACAAAGAAGAAAAGAAAAAAAAAAGAGAATGAACAATCCAAAACCCTTTCTTTTTTCTTCCATAAAAATTGTTTCATTCTAATTTTCTTTTTCTCTGCGAAAACACAAATCCACTTGCTTGATTTTTAAATTATGATATTGATAATTGGAATGGTTTAGTTTATCCCTGTTTCACTTTCTCTCTCTTTCTCTCTCACACACAAGACACCATTTCCTTCACACATAAAAAAATTAGATTTTTTAAAACCCTAGATCTTTCAGTAGGTGGCACACTCACAACCCCTAGCGGTTTCCGTGATCAGGGAGATTAAAACCCTTTTTAATTTCTTCATTTTCTGGATATGGATTTGGGTTTGATTTTGGAGAATTTGGGTGTGGAAAGATGTCGGGTTTGTTCTCACTAGGTGGAGGGTTTGGAATTGGTAAAGACGAGGAAGAACAGCAACATGATCATCACAATCAAGAGCAGGAAGATAGTATAATCACACCAAATAGTTTATATTTGTTCAAAAACGAAGACATCTACAGCAAAGGATTCGAACTATGGCAACAATATTACCAGCTTCACCAGCACCGCCAGCAGAACCACAATCAGCAACCGCTGCATTATGATTTGTCTGTCGGTGGTGGTTGTACAGGTAGGAGAAGAAGTAGCACGGCGAGTGGTGGTGTGGATGATCTTTGTCTTAACAGTAACAGCAACAACAACAACAACAATCATCATCATCTTTACGCGTCTTCGTGGAATTTCGTTGATAGATCAAGTGGAAGTGGTGACGAGACGAAAGCGATGAGGCAAACTGGGTATAGCATCGGTGGCGGAGATCATGGTGGTGGTGGCAGTGGCAGCGGTGGTGGTGGGATGAATTGTCAAGATTGTGGTAACCAAGCAAAGAAAGATTGTCAGCACATGAGGTGTAGAACTTGCTGCAAAAGCCGTGGGTTTCAATGTCAAACCCATGTCAAGAGCACCTGGGTTCCCGCAGCTAAACGCCGGGAACGTCAACAACAGCTCTCTTCGTTAACGCAACAGCAACAGCAACAGCATCACCATAATTTAGGGAATCAGCAGCTGAGTTTGATGATGAGAGGTGGTGGTATTGATCAGAATCCCAAGAGACTACGTGAAGATCATCAGCTAATGGCCACCGGTGGTAGTGGTGGTGGTGGTGTGACTTTAAATTTGCCTTCTACACATCATCACAACACTTCTTCAGGTAAAGATCGTCTCTTTAGGTTTACCCATTTTTCAAGAAACAAACAAAACCCACAAATTATTCCTTTCTTCCAATTATTGGTTTTGGAGAAGAAAATCTCTTTTTCTCTTTACCAATATTGATTCATGATTTGATGGGGTTTATTTCATATATATACACTCACACTCACCCATAGATTAGCTTCATATTTCAAGACTCGTTTAGGCTTTGAAATCAGGGCTACTACGGTGTGTGCGTGTATATATATATATATACATGTATATATATATTAATAAGTATATAACCTCGCCTATATCTAGATGAAATCTATGGAGTATGGATACACGTAGTGTTTGTCACTGTGTGCAACTGTGCGTGCTATGACATATTGACATATCGCTTTTGCGTGTTGTAGGCGAAGGGTATAGTAGACTCCATTATACCTAACCCAAGAAAAAGGTTATAAATTGTATGCATTTGCTTTTAAAATTTAGGGTTAGAAGTGGGTCATTTCCCGGCGGAAGTGAGTTCTCCGGCGATTTTCCGGTGCGTTAGAGTGAGTGCAATGGACGAAGCGGAGGAGCAGCTAGCATATCAAACGGCAGTCAACATCGGCGGACATCTTTTCAAGGGAATTCTCTACGACCATGGTCCGGAAGGTCGATACAACCACCCAGCAGGTGGTGGTGAAAGTTCCTCCGCAGGTGGCGTTCAGCATCATCAACAACTTCACCTCATTACTTCCGGCACGATGGGGATTCCCGCCACCACCACCACCTCCGTCAATCCACATGTCACTTCTATTGATCCTTCCTCCATATATCCAGCTCCTCTCAACGCTTTCATGGCGGGTACGCAATTCTTCCCACCACCAAGATCTTGAAAACAAAAAGCAAGAAAACAATAAAAAAAATTGCTAATCGTTAGGGGAACTTTTAGAGATGCAATGGCATGCTTTGATCTTGATTATACCACATTGGTTATGTAGCTGCTAGCATTCAACTAGGAGAATTCAGAGAAACGTAGTGCATGTATGCAAAATTTACAAATCTGTGTAATCAAAGATTATGTCTACAACCATGAACTCCATTGCAACAATGTTAATTAATTTAATTACCTGTTTCTATGATCGATCGATCGTGTGATATTATCCTTGCCTTTTCTTATTGTGGTGTAGATAAAAGATTAAATTTCCTGTTTCTATACTCGTAAATGTAATTAATTAAGATTTTAAGATAACGTTTCAACCTCTAGTTACAATAAAATATTGTTTACGAATTATTTAAAAAAGGGTATACATGTAATATATTGGGTGAACGTTGAATTTTTCTCTTTTAGGTTCTCTTAGTACTGAGCTACATTTGGATTTGTGCTCAAGGAATAAGATGTCATTAAGACATTGAGTATTGGAGAGTGTTATTTTGCTTGAGTAATAATTTCATTTTATTTGTTTAACATGAGTATTCTAAAATGGGATTACTTTTTGCTTGGTTTTTGAACTCGAGGTGGCTTTTTGCTCCGTTCACCTGTTTACATGCCGGTTTATAATGGCACAAAGCTTTTCATGGTGCCTTCTTTTATCTTCAAAAGTTCATAATTCATGATTTACCCCATGGTTTTTGGGAAATATGCAATCAATCTTGGTGTTTAACATCGCATATTGTTACTTTGTTGTTGATTAATTGTGGTTTGTGTATATGTTTAATGGTGTTTAAATTATACGTCTATGCATGCAATATAGGTGTACACATTGAGGTGTATATGTTATGGTTGGATAAAAAAAAACTAGATAATATATATATATATATATATATATATATATATATATATATATATATATATATATATATATATTTATTTGTAATAATGTCATCCAGATACAAACAAATCCTATTTCTATAATTAGAAAAAGTTTGAAATACAATGTTGTGTTCATGTAGTTTTTAAATTAAGTGCAATAATTTTATAAGAAATAATATTGAAATTATAATGATGTAACATAATGATATATGATCGTATAATAACATAAATGTACGAAATTATAATGAAAAAAATGTGCATTTGGTGATTTGGCATTTAGCCTTCAATATTATTTGGTAATAAATATAGGCTTGAAAGGGACATTTATAAGTGGAAGTGAGACCAAAAAGGGAAGAATGAAAGCTGTTTCTGCTACAATATTATGGTATTATAAATGCAACTCCAGCCAAGTAAATAAATGCATGTGATGCGATGAGTTGTAACTTGTCACTTGTAATGAGTTAATATGTTCATTTATCTATACATGCATGCCTATGGTTACATAATTAACATATAGCACATATACATACACGTTGCTGTATCTATAAATCTATGTCGTCCAAACTCACGGCTTCTAGGGCGGGGGTACTGTCCGTGACATATACCCTAGTTTGTGTTTGTAATGGCATGGTGCTTTATTGTTTGTACAATATGCATTAAATGTAGGCACCTTTGTAGAGGGAATGTAGGAAGTCAACTCTTACACCTACGTAATTATGTTCACATAAATGGTAATTACCGTTTCCACGTTTGAACTTACCAAATCCAAAAAAGCTCATGCATGCCAACTTGTACATCATGCATGAAGACTTGTATGTAATATAGGTAGGGATGGTATGGGGTAGAAGGGTAGGGGACTCCTAGATTTGGAGGGTATGTGTAAGAAAGAGTAGTTGTTGATCAAGGTTACCTGAGTTGATGAAAGTTCTGATTCAAAACAAGTACCTTCTTTGATCAAGACATTACATTCTTTTAGGGTAAACATACTTTCTGACCACCCTTCTCTTACAACACTTTTTTAGCAATTGTAGTAGGTTTTCTTTTAAACATTTTTTTTCTATATATTGCCATTTTGTAGACAAGTTATGGGCACATATCAGATCTTAAATATATATCTTACTTATGTTTTAGAAATACAATTTAATTTGAACATGTTATTCTAAGTCGAAAGATTTTGTTGCATACGTTTGTTTCTTAATGAGTAAATTACAACTAAAATGTGTTCACATTGTAAAATTAAATTACAACAACATGAAGTTGGTGTGAATGTTTTGATGACGATAAGCCGAGATTTGCAAAGTTTTAATAGTGAGGGTAGAAGAATCACACCACAATTTTGAAGTACTTTATATATTTTATCTTTAAGTTAATATTATAAAGGGATTTCTAATTTTCTATTATAAAAAGACTATTTTTAGATTTTTCCTATTTAGACTTTTTTTTATTATCTAAAAAGCACCTCACATTTTTTCTTTTTTCTTTTTTCGTTTTGACCTTTTTACCATGTTTAGTGGTAGGCAATCTTTTACGGCAACTAACCTTTTTTTTTTTTTTTTAAATACTATTTTTTTTTTTGTTTTCAATAAAACTCTTATTATATTTGACAAACTTTTTTATTTGGAGAACTTTTCCGTTTCAACTCTTAATTTATATGTTATTGTTTTTGTTATTGCTGATAGGGTTCTTGGTGAAAGAAGATGGGTGGTTTTATTGTACATATATCTGTTAATTTAGAAATTGAAGATTTTGTATCAATTAATTTTAATGGTATTGTATCACAAATAGTTCACTCTCTACTAATTTGGATGAAATCGTATCATAATTGGTTCCATGTCTACTAATTTGGAGAATGAAAGTTGTATATTTGCTAACAAAATGTTGTGTCTGCTAATTTGAAAATAAATAAGAATATAACATTTAAAGAATTTGTTGACTATGCTATTGATAAAAAAAACTAGTTTTAAAATAATTTAACGAAATTACATGAAAACTAAAATTAGATTTCAAAACATATATTGGTGCCCGTTCGGAAGCCGTCTTTTGTTTTATATTAATACATTTTTTTCATTAAGAATCAGACATAATAGATATCCTTCTTCCAAAAATAATTTAATGTTTTCCTTTAAATTTTTAATCTTGAAAACATGAATACTATAAATAGCATTATAAATTTTTTTGAAACGTCAAACTAATTAATTTATTTCTAAATAACCATTTATATCTCCATCAATACTTGAAGTCATTGCCTCTTATATGAAAGAGTCACTAGTTACCGCTAGATTATTAATCCTTTAGTAGCAACACAAATGAAAACACTAGAATTATGAGCCAAAACAGAAAATATAATACAAATAAAAAAGTTTGTCAAATAAAACTATTTTTCTAAAATGAATTTAGTTTTTTTTTTTCTTTTCAAAATAGAAATATCAATCACAGGTAAACATATTAAAAAAGCAAGAAGAAAAAATTGAAAAACCATCAGTTTTTTTTAATGAAAATGTTTTAACTTAAAAAATCGAAGATACAAGGCCTATATAATACTAACCGGTATATTTTTTACATCCGGTTCTTCTATTATTATTATTATTATTATTATTATTATTATTATTATTATTATTATTATTATTTCTCAAGCATTTTGAAGAGATGAAATCCACTAAATTTTACTATTTGAGATTGAGCAAGAAACAGTGGAAACACTAGTAATATGTAATTGATAGAAAGTGATAAATAATTGACAATTGATAGAAAGTGATAAATAAAAATAAATATTATATTTTAGTACTCAAAGACTCTTGAAAATTTATAGAAAGTGATAAATAAAAAAGTCTTTCAATAAATACTATTTACAAGTGGGTATTTATGAAATGAATTGACCTTGGTAGTTTGTAAGAGTATCTTCGATTTATTCTTAAATCTTTTTTTTTTTCTTTATTTCTTTTTATTTTTGTTGGAGAAATGAATAATATTCCTTGGAGAAAAAATAATCATGTTCTTTAAATAGACTTGAAGTTTCAACTATTGGTTTTACTCCTTTTCTTTTTATTTTATATATTTATAATTTATATTATCTATTAGTTATAATTTAAATATAATATTTTATATTTTATATTTTATATATTAAATTAAATTTATTAATTATAAATGTAACGTATACGTTTAATATCTATGTATCGAATTCATAAACAAAATTAAATACATACTAAAATTTTGAAACACAATAACATATTTTATAAAAGCTTATAATTGAATAAGATTTTTCATATATACAATTTTTTCTTATATAATTCAAATTGATAAAAATAATAATAAATTAATAATTAATTGAAAATCATTATATGCACATTTTATTTTGTTATAATTTTATGATAATATAATCGATAATATTATTGACAATATATATGTGTAAGTTAAAAAAATTCTTTGAAAATACTTTTTGGATTGAAAATAAAATTAAATATAGAATAAGCTTAAAATCTTCATTTCTTAAGAAAAAAAAATACAAATAAGTTAGAGGTGGTCTAATATTCAAATCAATAGATTATTAACACAAATGATCGAATGGAACATTTTAGGGGAACATGGCCGCTTACTTTTAGGACATGCAGGAAGACTTATATATTAAATTATAAATATAAATAAATGTAATATATTTCTTACTATGACATTAAAGAAAATTATAATTTATAGTAATGGATAATCATTTACCTTTTAAACCAGCTACCTCATTGTTATACCATTTTTTTTTAAAACTCAATGCTTAAATATAAATAATTTTAAAGTATAATAGTTTGTATATTCATTTTATTAAACAATACACAAAGATAAAATGGCATTTCTTTCTAGTTAGATTTTAGCCCAAATTAATTATTCACGTCACTATATCTCTTTTTTTTTTAATCCACGATAAAAATTGGGGTTAGCTAAAAAGATACCACATTTTACCATATAGACACCCTAATTAAATTTTAAAATATTTTTATTCGTTGAAATTGTATTGTTTTCTGAAAAAAAAAAAAAAATTGATAAGTAGTTGATTTTTTATAAAAATGATAATAACGTGTCTAAGGGGTGTCTTATTAGCAACACCCTAAAAATTAGCATCAAACTTAGATTTAGATTTTACAACAAGGATCGAAAAGTTAGAACGTGATATTTTGGATATCTTCCTTTCATCCCCTCCAACCCTTTTCTTTCATGTTAAATCCTAAAAATGTCATTCTAAAATTAATTACCTTACAAAATGCAACCATTTTTTAACTCAAATCCAGTTAATCTATGAAACGATTGTTTATTTCAAAATTAAAATCTTGTTTTTATCTCTTTCA